CGTCCGGTTCACCACAGAATTTGTGGGGGGAAGCCATGTTGACGGCTAATTATATTACTAATAGAATGCCCCACAAAAAGATAAAAAGCATACCATATGATATATGGAAAGGAAAGAAGCCATCCCTGAAATACTTTAGAGTGTGGGGGTGTTTGGCTAAGGTTGCGGTTCCTAAACCTAAAAGGTTAAGAATCGGACCTAAAACCGTGGATTGTGTATTCATCGGTTATGCACTTAATAGTAGTGCTTATCGTTTTCTAGTGTATAAATCTGATGTCTCAGATATACATATTAATACGGTGATTGAATCAAGGGAAGTTACTTTCTTTGAAGACATATTTCCGTATAAGAAAATACATGAATCTAGTGGTAATGATGATGATCAGGTTGAGATACCTCGAGATGCTACAACTGATACTGATACCGTAGAGGACATAAAAGATGAACCTAGACGTAGCAAGAGGCAAAAGACCGCCACATCCTTTGGACCTGATTTTATGACATACTTATTGGAAAATGAACCTCGGACGTATAAGGAAGCTATAACGTCCCCAGAAGGACCATTCTGGGAAGAGGCTATCAATAGTGAGATAGAGTCTATCTTGTCCAACCACACTTGGGAACTGGTAAATCTTCCTCCTGGCAATAAGCCGTTAGGAAGTAAGTGGGTGTTCAAAAGAAAAATGAAAGAGAATGGCACTATTGATAAATATAAAGCAAGGCTTGTGGTAAAAGGCTACAGGCAACGTGAAGGTTTCGATTACTTCGATACTTATTCACCCGTTACAAGGATCACATCCATCAGGATGTTGATCGCGGTAGCTGCATTGAATGGATTAGAAATACATCAAATGGATGTGAAAACTGCCTTTTTAAACGGCGACCTGGACGAAGAGATATATTTAGAACAACCTGAAGGTTTTGTTGTTCCAGGACAAGAACGGAAAGTTTGTCGCTTAATAAAATCCCTTTACGGGTTAAAGCAAGCTCCAAAACAATGGCATGAAAAATTTGACAAAGTTATGTTATCAAATGGTTTTCGAATTAATGAATGTGACAAATGTGTCTATGTTCGGAATATTGAAAAAGGTTTTGCCATTGTCTGTCTTTATGTAGACGACATGTTGATCATGGGTAGTAATAATCAAATGATCAATGCTACTAAACAATTACTTAAAAGTAAGTTTGAGATGAAAGATATGGGGATAGCGGACGTTATCCTAGGAATTAAAATCCATAGAACATCTGCAGGATTGGCATTATCACAGGCTCACTATATAGTTAAGGTTCTTGATAAATTCAAGAGTTTGAATATAACTCCTGTGAGGAACCCTGTAGATTCTAATTTGAGTTTATTAAAGAACACTGGTAAAGCTACAGCACAAAAGCTATATGCTCAAGTGTTGGGAAGCCTTATGTATGTTATGAACTGTACCAGACCTGATATTGCTTATGCAGTAAGTCTGTTAAGTCGCTTTACCAGTAATCCAAATGAGAATCATTGGAAAGCTATGGTAAGAGTTTTGGGATACTTGAAGTATACTCAGAATTATGCTTTGCATTACGAGAAATACCCCGCGGTTATAGAAGGGTATTGTGATGCAAATTGGATCACCGGCTCTAACGACACTAGATCCACAAGTGGATATGTGTTCACCCTTGGTGGAGGTGCTGTGTCTTAGAAATCGTCCAAGCAAACCTGCATTGCAAGGTCAACCATGGAAGCAGAATTTATTGCTTTAGATAAGGCCGGTGAAGAAGCCGAATGGCTTCGTAATTTTATTGAGGATGTTCCTAATTGGCCAAGACCGGTACCATCTGTATGCATACATTGTGATAGCCAAGCAGCTATTGGAAGGGCCAAGAACGTCATGTATAACGGTAAGTCTAGACACATACGTCGTAGACATGATACCGTAAGACAACTACTCTCGAATGGAATCATTTCAATTGACTATGTTAAGTCTAAGGAAAACATAGCGGATCCGTTAACCAAAGGGATTCCTAGAGAGTTGGTTGAAAAGTTGTCGAAAGGAATGGGTTTAAGGCCTATCAATTGTTGAGCATTGCGGTAACTCTACCTAGAAGAGTGGAGATCCCATGAACTAGGTTCAAAGAGACAACTAAGTGATGGTCGACTGTTCAAACACTGTGGAGTTTTTAAACTCATACTCATTCCTAAGACAAGACAGTGTATTTATGAGGGTAAGCATTAAGGCTTTTAATGATTTCTTAATCTGTTGTGTTCAGATGATGTATAGTGATTTACATCACAAGAAATCACCTATGTGAGTGTGAAGTGAGGGCCGCTTCTATGAGAATTTTTAAAGGCCGATTCTCTAAAACACTCGCAGAACCAGGCAGGTGTCCCACGGCCAAAATGGGCGCAACAAAGGACCAACAATGCTAGAGAAGCAATTGTGTGACTCCTATTGTCTAGGTATACACTAAAGGTTGACGGTTCAAGTCGACCTAGACCACCGATTGACCGAGTATATCCGATAGGTTTTCACTAGAGAAGGTTCAAAGGTAACTCCACCTATCTCGATGCAGTTGTTTCTCGTTGAGGAATTTACACTTTGCATTTATACTCTTATGCATTTTGTCACGATGATTTGACTTCTTATCCATGTGGGGGATTGTTGGAATTAATGAATGAATTAATGTACAATGATCCATTGGTTATGAATAAGAGGTGAGTTAATAAAGAAAAGAGAAAAAGGGAAGATGAAGAGGTGTGTGGGTTTCAACAAGTCCCACATTGGACAATTAGTAGGAAATGGGAGAGTATATAAGCTCCCACTTCCCTCTCTTAGATTGGCCCTTGGGTCACTACATGTTTTATGTAGGGGGAGAGCTAGGTGAGCATTGGTTCACCACACACGCGCGCGCCGCCGCCGCCGTCCGTCCGGCCGGCTCGGCTCGGATCGGTTCGGTTCGGTTCATAGTGTGTAATAAAAAATAATTTTTTATTAAATAATTTTTTAATATTTTGTCCAAAAAAAATTTACCGTTGCTTCCCTCCAACCAAAACGTTTCTACCCGCCGGTTTTTTGAGCAGTATTGAACCGAACCGGTTCTTTCCCTTCGTGAACCAGTCACCGGTTGTGTCTGCTCGCTGAACCGGTCACCGGTCGTATCTGTTCGTCGGAACAGTCACCGGTCGCACCCGTTCGCCGCCATCAGACACGGCGGTTCGCCGCCGGCGACTGTTCATCGTGACCGGTCAGTGTCTATGAATAGACACTGACACCTTCAGAAATCTATCCAGTTTTTCCTGCACTTAAACTCTGCCGGAATTTTTCTTCTTCCGGTTTTGCATACTGTTGTTCATCCTCCGGTGTGACTTCCTCTGGCATTTTGTTGTGTTCGTTTGGGCTGTTGATTGGTAGTGCCACCATTCTTCAGACGAAATCCGTTCTATCCTGGGAGACAAGTGTCCATCAACCTTAGGCATCAGTGATGGGGCAAATTGTCTTAAGGAGACACGTTCTGTGGGCTCGGATTTAATTCCTTTGATACTGCATATATTCATCCTTTCATTCTGTCTGTTTCATCATTCTGCCACTGACAAGTAAGTCTGTTTTTAATATTTTTAATTACACAGTGATAATTCTGATCATCTACCTCCTCTGCTTTATACATGGGTTCAAATCTATTAGTGATATAATATCACCCACTGTCTTCAATAACAATCTGTAGCATATATTTCATAAGGTTTCTCTGTCTTTTATTGATAGTGCATGGAGAGGCTAATATAATAATGGATCCTTCAGCTAGACAAGCATAGCAGCAGAAATACAAAATGCACAGCTAGACGAGCATAGCAGCATCAGCTAGGCTGATATAATAACAGATCCATGGAGAGGTTGATATTATCTTGCATCAGCCATGAAGTGAAAACATATGTGGTCCACAACTCCAAGTCGAGGATGAGCTCCAAAGTGCAGTTCAAAGTCAATGTTGAGAAAAGCAGCCTTCACCACAGCAAGTACAGCACATGTCAATAATCTCAACTTGTTTATTAGTAAATATTCGCTGATGGAATCATTTCAACTTTTAAAACAAGGTTATTTTTGTAAAAGTAAATTTTTTTTCCATCTATATTTTATCTACAACCAAACATAGACTTTATAAATGTTACCTAATTTTCCCGATAAATTTTTTTACAACCAAACAACTTTTTTTTACATTTTCTATACCAAACTTACTTCCCCTCATTTTCCTATCAATAACATTTCCTTATTATTCTTAAAATTTCTCCTCAACCAAACACTCCCTTAGCTATTTATCATTTAACTAATCCGAGCCCCTCTCTCTCCACGCTTTCTAAAAATTGCGAATCACAAAAATTAAACTTACTAGGGCGGGCAAGTCAAATCTTGGAATTTAAGTACCACTAACTCTTGGGTTAAATTATAAATTTTAGAATGATAAAGAAAACACAAATTCTAAGAGTTACAATTTCTACGGAAAGTGAAAAGAAATAAATTCGAAATCGAATTAATCAGGTTCTCTAAGACTTCGGATATTGATTGATGTTTATCAAAATATGATAAACATGTAATAAAATTTAAATAAATAATTATGTCAATACATTATACATACTTAATAGATTATATAAATATAATAAATTTTAATAATATATTTAAATGAAAAATAAATAAAAGAGTATGGTAAGCTGTAATTAAACTTTTTAAAAAGTTAAATGAGTTAGACAACAAAAAAAATAAGCCAAAAATTACTAGATTGAAGGACTCCCGAGCTACCTAACCAATTAAAACACATGCTGATCGTTTATGGACAAAGATTGATTCAGCTTGCAAACTGTGTCGGTCAACCTGATAGCACAGCTCTCTTAATTTTTCAAGCTTTATAGCAACTATTATAGATGCCAATTATCAAATGGTGCAAATTGAATGTGACACGTAAAAAATCATTATCCCTCCTTTTCCCTTGCATGGGAAAACACTTCTAACAGCATTAAATAAAAACATTGTTACAAACAACGTGGAGTTCCAATCAGTATAAAAAGTTCCACGAGGACTAGCTGAGTTTATGTATGTACCTATCATATCTTCAAAGAATACAACCCAAGATGGGTAAAGATATGTGCACCCCTTAACAAAAAGGAAGGGAAAAATTATGTTTTTCATAGTAAAATTACAACAAAAGGCCTCCTTCCTGTGATCACTCGGCCATGACAATTATGAACATGAAAATCCTCATAAGTAGCTGGATATTGAAAGAAAATCTTGGTTTAATCTTGTATGCTTTATGCAAAACTTCGTTACTGCTTTCAGCAATAGGGAGGATCGATGAATGCCCATTCAATGACTTGCTCGTATTGAGTGGCAGCATTTACCCAAGTGTAATCTCTTGTCATACCCCTTTTCATCAAGCCCTCCCAAGAAGACTTATGTTCATTGTATGTTTGAATGGCATATCTTAGAGCCTGTAAAAAATTAATACAAGTTAAGACCGACCAAGGCAACAAGAACAAAAAAGAGAGAGGAGAAGCCGCAAACAGTGGTTATAGGTATGTCAAGACAGAACATCCTAAAATGAGAGAAATTAGCCAATGGTTTTGTAATGACCAGGGTGGAATAGAACTCTACTCGAAAGAATTACAGCTATGCTGAGAACTGAGATGACACTTTAAAAGTGAGTGTCGATTCAAGAAGGGTGGAAATTAGACCTCTGAAGCCATGCAGGAAGAAATTGAAGCTCTTCATAAGAACAAGACTTGAGAACTTGTGTCATTACCGCAAAGAAGAAAGCCCATTATGAGTGTTTACAGGTTTCACATTCCAAGTATGAATCCACCATGGACAGAATGGAACAGATTGGCACATATTCCTCAATGTTTTAGTGACTTAATAAGGCTGTTTTAAGATTCTGAGTCTGACTCAAGAAGCCCCCTAAATGATTGCAATTAGAAGGAACCATTTCATTAGCCATACTAAACCAGACCATGCATGCACGAGTGTCTCCTTAAAATTATGCCTTTTTCTAGACCAAGGGCAGCACCCCAATGAGCTCAGACAAGAATGAATATAGTGGTTTTGATAGAAATTATGCTTATCCATATTAGTCTATAATTTGCTTTCTATCCAAAGGTGGTCCCCTTCCCCCATGCACAAAAAAAAGAAAAAGGAAGACATGAGAGCTCTCACAATTACAAACTTATATTGCAACCCTTTTCACAATCAACAAGGCTAGACTAGAACTTTCCACATCAATTTGCAAAAGATAAACAACATAGAATTTTCTAGATTGCAAAATACTCTTACCGTTAACATGCTCTCCTTTGTTAGTGGAGAAAACGTCCACCTGTTTGTGAAGTTCAAAACAATGTCAAACAATTTGAAATAAGCATATTCATAATTCTGTATTTGTAAAATCCAGGGGCATTGTAGCATTACCTCTGAAAGTGTCACAGGAAAAAAAAACATAGTAGGAATCAATAGACTTAGAAAACTACCCATAAAAAATTAATTCATAATTGAAGTCATAGTTTATATTCGCAGAAAACTAAGTTTGAGTAAATGCCACTCTATTAGAATAAATACTCCTTCTTTTTTGTTAACTCCTGCTTCTATTTTATTCCATGTACTATAAAGGGCAAGTTGGTGCTATAAAGCTTCCACTATGCACAAGGTCCAGGAAAGGGTCAGACCCATCATGCGGTCTATAGCCTTACGATCCATTTATAAGAGGCTGATTACCTAATTCAAACCTGTGACTTCCGGGTCACACGGCGACAACACCAGCTGTTATGTCAAGGTTCCCCTTCATTTTTCCCTTTATTACTTTGATAAAAAAGTCATAGCTTAGTTTTGACATTAATACATGCCTTTAGTAACAAAAATCCAAGCCAGCTGCAAGACCAAGACCACCTAAGATGTGCATATAATATATATTTATGATAATTGGCAAAGTACATGCTGGTTGTAACCATTTTATCCAGGCTTAGGACAGGCTTATGGGAGTTTAGTTGATTGTTGTATCACACTTACATCTACAAATCTAAATTCTTTCCGATCAGCACTAGAAGATCTCTAACTTCCTTGATTCACAGCAACAAAATTAAATATAAGATCCATGATCACCATATAGGTTCCATTTTTTTATTACCCCATAACTTTGATAGTTTCACTCGGACCATAGAGTAGTTAATTTGTAAGGTTTATTAAGAACAAATGGTAATTTAACAGTTGAACAGAAAAAAAAATCCCAGCTCATGAACAACATACCCTGTGCCTTCAGCATTGCTTCCTTCAGCAAATGGATTAAAATTTTGAACAGTGTCCTGTAAATCAGTAAAGAGAAAGCATGAAGGCAAAGAAATCATATTGAACTAGCCAATTGCTTGCATTTTCTTGACTTACCCTTAGTCCCCCAGTTTCATGAACCACTGGTATAGTTCCGTATCTCATTGCATACAACTGATTTAGTCCACAGGGCTCGAATGTGGATGGCATTAACAGTATATCACAGCTGAGCATAATTGATGCAGAAACATGGAAACAGTAAGAAAATTTTACATGGCCCTGCAATTGTTCTATAAAGGATTTATTAATTTTGCATTACCCTGCAGTAATTCTATGAGATATTGGAACATTAAATCCAACCCAACCCCGAAATTTATCTTTATAAGCTGACTCAGCTACTCTCATCCAATCCTCATAAATAGGGTTTCCCGAGCCAAGCATTACCTGGAAAAAAGAAAAGAAAAAGGAAAAATAACTAGAGACTGTCAACCACATTAGATGGCCACAAATACAATACAACATATTCCTCAGAAATTATACTTACATCTATCAATTAGAATTTGAGGGGCTTTAATTATACACTCAAATGAAATTATTCATACAAGGAAAGAAGTTGCATATGTAAAAATGATCAATCATGGAATTTTTTTTCTAACAAGTATCAAGATGTTTAGTTTTTTATTTATCAGGTAGTTAGTTATATCTGCAATTTCTCAAGATATATTTGATGCCCTACCAGTAGGCATGGCCTACATATAGGTAGATCCACAGCATGCATTCAATTATTTGGCACAGGAGATCTGTTTATCGAACTAATTTACAAAATCACTTACAAACTGAACATCATCTTCCATGAGCTCTGGAATTGCCAAGCGAATCAGGTCAATACCTTTCTGGTAGTCTAGTCTTCCAATGAATCCAATCTACAAGTTTTGGATATAATCAATACCAGAAAAGTGAGTAAGAATTTTACCAAGCAGATCAAATAAACTTACCAATGGACAATCAGGCCTCAGTGGAAGGCCCAATTCCTTCTGCAAAGAAATCTTGCATTTGACCTGAGAGAATTTGACATAAGACAAGTTCAGCAAAACAGATAGGAAGGGGAGATAAAGGGAAAGACTAAAACAACCTTCCCAGAAAGATCATCAGCGGAATAGTGGCAATCAATATGTTCATCAGATGACGGGTCCCATTCAGTAACATCAATTCCATTTGTGATCCCTAGTCAATGATGAAATTGTTACAGGTTTGAGCTTCGAGGAACATCATTCAGTAAATTCTTGTTTTGCTTTCCCAATTCCCATATATTGACTCACACAACTATGTGTACAGGTGAAAGCATTAAGCAGGGTCATGAGAAAATATAGAGACAAAAGAAGCTTCCAGACTTAGTAATGATCATTAGGAAAATAACAATTCTTCTGCTACTGAATTTATGAAATGAAATTGGGCTGTTATTCAGAAAAAAAATTAGAGGTACTTCAACAGTTTTCTTTTGATAATTCAAACCAATATCAATATGACAGATTCTATGACACAAATCAATATTAGCAAACAAATGAATAAATACACAGCTTTTCTAAGTCAAGAGCAGCATCAGCATATCCATATTTCCAAACGCATTACCTAAATGACTTGCAAAAAGTTAACTGCACGATGCAGCTTGAAGGAAAAACAAAAGGCAAAATGTGCTCAACCCTCCTCAACTGTGGCCTTTGCCCTTTGGTAGATAGGCCCCTTAGGATTCAATTCCAGTAATTAACCTCTTTCAACTTTGAAAAACACCAAAATAGCCAGTTTTATCTATTCTCTGTTAATCGATTCCCCCTACCACACTTATGCTTGAATAATCCTAACACTAATCCATCCATTAATTCCTATGTAGGCAAATTCATGCATAAAAACCAAAGTATGCTAAAATTAGTCACTCCACATGAACCCAACACAGCAGTTAACTGTTGTAAATAATAGTTTAGAATAGTAGTATAGAAGTCCCACATCATGTATGAGTATTTTCTTTCTTTTGAGTTATATAATAGACTCTCCGCTGTGTAGTTAAGACACACGGATTACTTATAAATCTTCTTGTTCTTGATATTCAACATGGTATCTAGAGCCTAACAAGATCCGCATCTTTCCGGTAGACCCACTGTCTACCGAGTAAAAATCTTCCCGGAAACTGTCAACATCGTCAGTTTCTGGCCACCGTCTGCCACCACCGTCCTCCACCGGAAAAGTTTTCTGGCGACCGTTTTGATCAAAAAGTACATCAACGGACTCAGAAGAAGCCGATCTACCCAACGACGCAAGACCCACCGTCATCAGAGGTTGCCAGCGTCGTGGACCACCGTTTGACCGCCGTTGACCGCCACCACCGATCATTTTTCAGGCACTTTTTCCGGCGAGCCACCCACAGTTGTGATCGTCACAAGGAGGCGGTTCTTTCCGTCCAAGGCCCGTTCCTAAATTCCCACTGAAGCATTTCTCCTCTTTCCATTACTGTTCACGACATCTTTGTTTCAGCGAATTGTTCTTGATCTATGGATGATTTTAGCTCATTTATCCTTCCTCAAAATATTTCTCGGCTCATGATCACTGGTTCCACTGCTACTGTTGTGCATACAGGTAATAGTGTTGCTGGTTTCACTCAAAGTTCATCATTTAGTCATTGGGTTCTTGATTCTGGTGCCTCTGATCATATTTCTGGTAATAAATCTTTGTTTTCCTCTCTTTCTACCTCTGGTTATTTGCCTGTTGTCACTATGGCTAATGGTTCCCAGGTTCAGTCTCATGGGATTGGAACAGTAAATCTCTTTCCCTCCATTACTATTGATAATGTGCTCTATGTCCCTGGTTCACCCTTTAATCTCCTTTCCATTAGCCGTTTAATACGTTCTCTTAATTGTCTCATTTCTTTTACCCAAAATTCTGTTGTTTTACAGGATCGAAATTCGGGGAGGACAATTGGCGGCGGATTTGAGTCCAATGGCCTTTACCTGCTCTCCAGCTCCTCTCATGCTCATTCTGTATTAGATTCTCCAGTCACTATTCATGCTCAGTTGGGTCATCCTAGTCTTACAAAGCTCCAGAAGATGGTACCACGTTTGTCCAAGCTGTCTACTTTGCAATGTGAATCATGTCAATTCGGGAAACATACTCGCAGTTCTTTTCCTAATAGAGTCAATCGTCGTGCCTCCTCTCCTTTTAGTTTGGTTCATTCTGATGTTTGGGGACCCAGTCGTACTGAATCAACTCGGGGTTATAGATATTTTGTTACCTTTATTGACGATTATTCTCGAAACACTTGGTTATTTTTACTGAAAAACCGCTCTGAGTTGTTCTCCATATTTCAGAAGTTTTATCATGAAATTCTTACTCAATTTGGTATTCCTATCCGCACTTTTCGTAGTGATAATGCTCGTGAGTATCTGTCTCAACCATTTCAATCATTCATGGCATTCTTCACCACACATCATGTGCGCATACCCCCCAACAAAACGGGGTTGCTGAAAGAAAAAAAACGTCATCTTATTGAAACAGCTCGGACACTCTTAATTCATGGGAATGTTCCTACCAATTTTTGGGGTGATGCTGTTCTCACCGCTTGCTATCTCATTAATTGCATGCCTTCCTCTGTCCTTGGTAACCAGGTACCGTACTCTATCTTGTTTCCTCATCAGCCTTTACATTCCTTACCCCTTCGTATTTTTGGTTCTACTTGTTTTGTCTATGAACTCGGTCCCAATCGTGACAAGTTGTCTACCAAATCCCACAAATGTGTGTTCCTCGGTTACACCCGAACACAAAAAGGTTATCGGTGTTACTCTCCCAGTCTCCTTCGCTCTTTTGTCTCAGCGGATGTTACTTTCTTTGAGTCTGTGCCATTTTTTGGCTCCACCTCCGTTCCCGATGACTCTGTTGATACTCAGTTACCTTTACCCTCTGTTCCAATTCAATATGTTCCGGCACCAGATTCCACACCACCACCGCCTGCACCAGATTCCACACCACTAACGCCTACTGTCACTTCTCCATATGTCCCAACACCAGATCCTCCTCTCCAGGTTTATCACCGTCGGTCACATCCACCCATACCCCAAGACATTGATGAGGTTCCTATGGACTCAGATCTGCCGTCATCAACTCCTGCGGTTTCGGTCCCGCCCTCCGACATTGACCTACCCATTGCTCTCCGAAAAGGTACTCGTAATATTCGTCCTCCACCCAGGTATTCAATAAATATGAGTTATCATCGCCTTTCTCCATCACATTTTGCTTGTCTTTCTTCTTTGTCTTCTGTATCTGTTCCTAAGACTACAGGTGAGGCATTATCCCATCCCGGATGGCGACAGGCTATGATTGACGAGATGTGTGCACTTCATGGCAGTGGTACTTGGGATCTGGTTCCTCTTCCCTCTGGAAAATCTGTTGTTGGATGTAGATGGATATTTACTGTCAAGGTTGGTCCTGATGGGCAGGTGGATCGTCTCAAAGCACGTTTGGTGGCCAAGGGATATACTCAGGTGTTTGGTGAAGATTATGGGGATACATTTCCCCTGTGGCAAAAATGGCGTCTGTTCGCCTCTTTATTACTATGGCTGCTATCCGTCACTGGCCCCTTTATCAATTGGATGTCAAAAATGCTTTCCTCAATGGTGATCTTGCGGAAGAAGTTTATATGGAGCAACCTCCTGGATTTGTTGCTCAGGGGGAGTCCAGTCTAGTTTGTCGACTCCGCAAATCTTTGTATGGTCTCAAACAGTCTCCACGAGCTTGGTTTGAGAGGTTTAGCACCATTGTCCAGCAGTTTGGTATGACTCGGAGTGCGGCTGATCACTCAGTCTTTTATCGCCACTCAGACTCTGGATCTATTTATTTGGTGGTATATGTTGATGACATTGTCATTACAGGTGATGACCATCAAGGCATTACTCAGTTAAAACAACATCTCAGTCATCATTTTCAGACAAAAGATCTCGGAAGACTACGATATTTCTTGGGAATTGAAGTGGCTCAATCCAAGGGTGGTATTGTGATATCCCAGAGGAAATATGCTATGGACATTCTAGAGGAGACAACTTTGTTGAATGTTAAGCCCGTCGATACCCCCATGGATCCAAACGTCAAGCTTATGCCAAATCAGGGGGAGCTATTTTCAGATCCAGAAAGGTATAGAAGATTGGTTGGGAAGCTGAACTATCTGACAGTTACTCGACCAGACATCTCATTTGCAGTCAGTGTAGTAAGTCAGTTCTTGAATTCTCCTTGTGAAGATCATTGGAATGCAGTGATCCGTATCCTCAAGTACATCAAGAATGCTCCAGGTAAAGGTCTCCTCTATAAAAACAAAGGTCATACCAGAGTTGAGGGATACTCAGATGCTGATTGGGCAGGTTCCCCCAGTGATAGAAGATCCACATCTGGGTATTGTGTATTCCTTGGAGGTAACTTGGTTTCTTGGAAAAGCAAGAAACAAAGTGTAGTTGCCAGATCAAGTGCTGAAGCAGAATATCGCTCCATGGCCACAACCACCTGTGAACTTATCTGGTTAAAACAACTATTGAAGGAACTCAAATTTGGAGACATTGGCACAACATCTCTCATTTGCGATAATCAAGCTGCTTTACATATTGCTTCCAATCCAGTGTTTCATGAAAGGACCAAACACATTGAGATAGACTGTCATTTTGTTAGAGAAAAAGTCCTCTCTGGAGATATAGTCACTAGTTTTGTTAACTCAACTGATCAATTAGCTGATGTTTTCACTAAGTCTTTGAGAGGGCCTAGGATAGATCACTTATGTAACAAGCTTGGTGCATATGATTTATATGCTCCAGCTTGAGGGGGAGTGTTGTAAATAATAGTTTAGAATAGTAGTATAGAAGTCCCACATCATGTATATCTCTTTGTATTTTCTTTCTTTTGAGTTATATAATAGACTCTCCGCTGTGTAGTTAAGACACACGAATTACTTATAAATCTTCTTGTTCTTGATATTCAACATTAACAATTAACCAAAACTGAGGTGTGATATTGTAGAAATCGAAAGTTGCGAGGGCTTCTACCCATTTTTCTGGGGGGAAAAAAGAAAGAAAAAAATTACAAATAGATATACAGATATGAAAGTCTTCTAATCAAAATTCATAAGAAGACTTCTAACACATTAGTGTCTCAATTTTGTGACACTAGTTATTTACCATCAAATCTGATAAACATGAAAGTCTGCTTTCAAATAGGATGTGATTCATAAAGGAGTTCAAAATACTCTTATATGTGCAATGCCTGTTAAATTATGCTCACAAGGTCTCTGAGTAACAAGACTAGCAATACCTGTTATTCATCCTGTTGATTAGTTTTGTAAGTTTATTACATTCAAGCAAATCTATTTTTATGGGTGAAAACCGTAATGTAGTCAAAGTCTAATATTAACATTGACCTTAATCGTATAAAATATAATTTGAAAGACTGAAACTTCATTGGAGATAAGCATTTTCACTGAAGAGAATTTACCCCAAACTTGGATTTAACTTGCTCAAAGAATCAAAGTACATTCAGGAGTATAAACCATATGTGATCAATTTGAAAATTCTTAAGCCATCAATAAACCTTTCATGTATGTGCTTGAAAATGTATTCTACAAGAAAAAAAATGTTAAAACAATACCAGTGAGAATACTTCTGCGACTGCTTAATAGCTCATGTAGACCACATCCACCTTCACTAGTTGTTATCTCCCAGGAATAACCCTGGAAAATGGAGGTAGCTCTTTATGCAATGCATATCGTTACAAAATAAATACAGGACACTTGTCTTTTACAAAGATTGTTATGATACCAGAGTTATTACAACAACTGAACAAAGTGATGCAAGTTTTAACTTTGGATGATAAAAAAATTTGTGAAATGAGGATTGAGGAACAGAAAGAGCATTGAGCAACAAACAAATATGCAATATTTGACTCAATAAAACAGCAGGAAGCAATATATATGATATGCAGTAATATTACCTTGCTCACTGTTAGTATCCTGTCTGCTGTAACAATGGCACCTTTAAGAAAATTGACAGCTTCACCTGTGTCAAGAGCATGTGTCCTTGCCCAAGTAGGAAAAACCCATTCCAGTGCTCCACGCCATTCTGGAGGTAGCCCCAAATTACTATATGTAATTGCAGGTTCAACTCCCTAACACATATTTTTTCATCAGCTTCTCTGCTGATATAAAAAGACTAAAGAACTTCTTGAGTTACACCATCTAACAATTTATAATAATTAATTTTTTAGGTTGCTACTCGAATGGTTTCATCTGAAATCCTTATGTTACAAACTTCTTGAGTTAATATAAATTTCATTTAGCAAAGCATTATTCACCCTATTTGTGATATCACAGATCAAAGACTGCAATTATTCTCCAAGAGTGTTCATTAACATGACCGAGCATCTTCGATATGCAATTTTGCATGCAAAGCCCAGCCAATCATGTTCCAATCATGCATTTCAATGTGACAACCAACACATAGTATTTTATGTATTTATAAACTTCAAAATAAATCTCACCTACTGGGATGGTGCTTAGTTGTTGGTTGTCGGTATAAACTTAAAAAATAAAAGTAGTATAAATTTTTCAGTTTCTGACAATGTATTCATTGTTATCATAGGCCTGCAATTAATAATTGTAAATAAGAGGCAGCCACGCTGAAGGCATGTGGGTGAAAAGCATAAAACATTACTCAAACCCTTGTTCTGTTGTTGAAGCTTCAAAGCTCATTTAAGAAAGCATAAAGATCAAAGTATAATGTTATTGCTTCTGTTAATAGTAACACTTCCAAAAATAAAATAAAACTGAAATAACTTACCTGATGGGCAATATTATGTATTACTAATATACTGCGTGCATCCTTATATACCCCATGTGGACGATACTTTGCTGCCAAAAGTCTGCACCACAATCGAAGTACCAGCACTCAATGTCAGTAAGACAGCAGAGTCAACTCAGACAAATCACAAGAAGCTTCAAATGAATGTTAAAATGTGAAAATCCACATGCCATAATGAAGCCTAAGAATAAGTAAAAGTAAGGATAAGTAAAGTTTCCAAAGTAAATAGCAAATTGCAGGACTGTAGCGAGTCATTGGAAGAAGGATTGTCTTTACTAAAGCAAACATATTTACTCCCATATTTTAATAAAGATAAACTTTGACACAAATAGTATGCTTCGGGAAAAACACATTGGAAAAGAAAAAAATGGGGGAAGGGGGCAAAGAGTATTAAAAGGGTAGATAAAGGTAGGCATGCATACATTGGAACTAGGCTGGCATGCCAATCATTAACAAGGAACACACATTTTTCTCCATAAGTGAATCCTCCCAATGGAAGCACCAACGGAGCTTCACATGCTGCATGGCAAAGTAAAGTGAACCGAAACTGTAAAACGAAGTGAGAAGAAAATTTATCATTATTCATGAATCAGAGATGGAAGTATAATACTAATCTAGCATCAAAGCTAGAATTAAAATCATACCTGATTATCCCCAAAAGTCCCATACTTGTCCCCATATGGATTCCCTGGTCTATGGAATGAGGGGTGATCCACAAATACCTAAACATGAAGCAGATACTATGATGTAAGAAATCAAATGGCTTTGAAAACCCCAAGAGTAGCAAATGCCTAAAAAAAAAAAAAACAGAAGTTCATACCCAATCAACACCTTCCCTATACTCATGGTAAAAGCCAACTTCTTGAATACCTCCAAAGCAATATACTTTGATGCAGTGATCAAGATCAACTGCACCAGAAAACTTACTATCCTCAGAAGGAACATGAATGTATCTAGGAGAGATAACCATAACACGGTGTCCACGAGCTGCCAGTGCTATTGGCAAAGAACCACAAACATCTGCAAGACCACCGGTCTTTGAATATGGTGCAGCTTCAGCAGTAACAAAAACAATGTTGAAGGATACTCTAGTCTCAGCTTTCTTTTCTTCTATATCCTCAGCCTCAGGCTTTTCAACTTCATCGCTAGTTGAATCTTCTTTAGTAATGTTCCCTGCATGTTATGCTCTTATCAAGTCAAAAATCATAACACCCTCTAAAACTTGATGGATACAAGATTAGTCTTTGTCATTATAATATTAACATACCAATTTTTCAATTCAACTCAACAAAATTAGAATAAAGCCTAGCAAGATTTTTAAATGCATGCCTATAAAATGACACATGTGCATGAAATGTTGATAACTTGACATGTGTCTATGAATTTTATAATGCAAAAGAGGAAATTAATATAAAAAAAATTAAAAAAAATAAAGGCACCAGACTCAGGAATCAAGCGAAAACCAATTAGATAGCCAAAAGCATCAGTCTCTCTAGCTAATACAAGAGCTGTTTCTTCTTTACGGTGGTTGTGGTGTTGGTGTTGAGCTTCGTCTTCAAAAGCAAATGACCCGTCTTGTGAAGCAGCAGCCCCACCTTCAGTGTCGCTGGAAAATGATCGCAAGTTTGCATTTTTAGTTGATCTTTTCAGCAAATATGGGAAACCCAGTTGCCTCATCAACCCTGAATTGTTATTAGCTTGAGTTGGCATTGATGATGTTCGTAAATGTAGAAAAACACGAGCAAGTTCCAGAGACTCCATGCGTTGAGAGAGAGAGAGAGAGAGAGAGAGAGAGAGAGAGAGAGAGAGAGAGAAGAGTTCCAATTTCCAATGTAGGAGGAAAAGAATCGTGAACAGAAAAGGAAAGGAAGATAAATAAAGAGAGAGAGAACAAAAAGAAACAGAGCACAGTGGAGAAATCACATGAGATGAGAGGTGATAAATAGATTTGGAAAGAGAAAAGGGTACATTGCGTTGCGTCAGATCCACCTAAACCGCCAAAACCTTAAAAAAAGCCAACACTAGATTTTAGCAGCACCTACATCACTACTTCACTATCTCTTCTTGCTCTGTTTTTTTTTATCCAACCTCTGATATTTCCCCAATTGCTGCAAAAGGATATGGATTGAGTGAGAGATATTAACTACATTTTTATATCTATTTATTACGTTAATTACATTATTAAGTACGGTAATTCATAATAATTATTTTTTTCTGATTATTTATTCATTAATCATTGGATTGGTGTATTTAATATTAAATGCATTATGTTTTTGTAAATAATGTTATATTATATAACTAAAATAATAGAAAATATTTATATTAAACTTAATAAAATAGTAATCAAAATTCAACAAATTTAATGATTAAAATTAAAAACGTAATGTAACACGACCTTTGAATCCTTTTATAATTCTCTGCAATGCCTGTTGCAGTATCACTAAGTGTTAGAATGTCGAAGAATGTCGAAAAATATCGAACACGACACGTTAAGATTTTTGAAAAATTGATGCTTCGTAGTATATTTGTACACATTTTTCGTAGTTGACATAGTAACACTATTGGACCCCAACTATTTATATATTTTAGAGCATCCGAATCATGGTTTGGTTGCATTAGGTTATAATAAGGCTTGTTTTTTCTTACAAGATAGTTAAATAGGTTGTTAACAAAAGGAAAGTTATTTACTATTAATTTCATTAACTTCTTCTTTATTTATAAATTATAGCATAAACTTAATCTCATTTCATTCGAAATAAAAAAAATATGCATGCACATTTTATATACGTACAAAAAATTATCCTCTGATAAAGTGTTGAGAAAAATTTAAAAATAAGAAGGCAATAAACAAAGGGGCAAGATATACTTACCACAAAAAATATTTATCACCTTTACAACCAATCTAATCTGATAATTTCCGTCAATCTAACGGTTATAATTTATTAAATTTATTAAAAATTAATAATTAATTAATAAGTACGATCCAGTAATTATCAATAAATTATAACCGTTAGATTAACGGAAATCAACGATAATTAAGTTGGTTATAAGGGTGATAAATTTTTTTGGTGATAAATATACCCTTCTCCATAAACCAAAATTGAAAGTATTTTATTTTTAGAAGGGAAAAATGTATCCAATGTTACTTTAGATAACTTTATCTAATGTTCATCGAAACGACGTCGTTTTGGAGTTAAAAAATTAGAATGACAAAGACTATTATAACCCTGAAATAAATTAAAATTATAAAAACATCATGATTTCTGCCCCAAAACGATGTCGTTTCGATGAACATTAGATAAAGTTATCTAAAATAACTTTAGAAATAACAAACCCATTTTAGAAACACGTTAACTGTTGTTTTTCCGGACCGTTATTTTGATTTTCATTCACATATGATGGTTAATCTCATGGCCTTATGAAGCGCTAAGATAATTCAAAATTGTACATATTTTATGTAATATAAACAACTCAAGCATTATTTTTTTGTATAAAAAAAAAAACAATTTTCTTACATGTAAAACAGAACATAAAATACGAGTCCTATATATTACACGAGTCCTAGATATTACAATCTCGTTTTTTGTGTGTTGGTTGGGGGTAATACAATCTCAGATTTTGTTGTTCATGACATCAACGACATTATTAAACTGTCCTTAAATAATAAATACCAATGCATGTCAACGACCAAAGTTCAGACCATACAAAAGCATGCTATGATAATTATTACGATGTTCAGAAAATAAACTAATTAATCAAGTCATGCCCAACCGTGGGGTCCAAGAGGAACGGCCCAATCTTCAACCCCAACATCATCTGGGCAACCACTTGAAATCCGTCTAGATTGGGGTCGAATCCCATTGATTTTTGGGCTTGGACTCCTTAAAAATTGATTAGCTGTAGTGGCCCCACCAGAGCTGGATGAGTCACAGCCCAACCCAATAGCAGGACTATTCCTAGTGGATGAGTTCCAGTGAGGCCCAGATGAAGTCCGTTGCTTAAATGGGCCTTGACTCCGAACCTTGGCCTTTGCTGACTGGGTTGGAGCCATATAGCTAGGTACATTCCCACTGTGCTGCCGATGGTGGTGCCGATTGGAGATTGGGCTTGAATAAAGAAAGTCTCGATTCATGAGGCCCATGTTGGGGTGAGTTGAGTCCAGAGGCAGAACCATGTCCATTTCAACTGTTTTTTCTTCAGACATGTCATCTGCGGTGGCAGTGGCTGTATTAAGAGTCATGTATTGGGTCCCACGTGACCCCAAATGTCTAACATGGTGTGATTGTGATGACATCCAACTTTCCAACCAATTCCAATCGCTTCCAATATCATCACCATGTTGGTCTATCTGCAAATATTGCTTCTGCTGTTGCTGCTGCAAACAAAATGATTAACAATGAAAATGATTTTATTTTTTTGGTAATGATAATTGAATTTAATTTAGGGTTTATTGTTTCATATATCATAAAAGATAAATTTATCTTCTATATATAGATAAAAGTGTGTGTGACTCATATTTTTTCTTTCTCTCCCTTCTCCTCACTTGGACTTACATAGGTCCCACACACTTTTATGTATGTAAGAGATAGATAAATTTATCTCATAAAACATAAGAAATATTAAACTTTTAACTCATTGATATGGAATTGAATTAATTCTTGTGTAGCCACAGGACTAGTGTAAAATTCACTTTCAATTAAACCCCCATTAACAAAACGGGGTAAAGGAAATCTTGTATACAGTATTATACTTGCATATTTGTAAAAAAATTATTTTCTAAATTTGAACAAACGAGCTTTTAGTGAGAGCAATTTTATCACTACTCCATATTTATCCTCTTAAAACCACTCCCTATTAAAGACTAACTAGGGTAAGGTGAGGGTTTTTGAAAGCAATCTTATCCTTACAGATTTACAAAGAAATTACGGATTTACATTTTAACCTTCTAAGCGACTATTGTAAGTAACAAAAAGTAATTTCAAAGGGAAAAAAAGAAAAGAAAAAAAAGAATAACCTGGCAGTTGTAAGCGTATGCAAGAGCTCTCTCCCTTTTCATTGCAGCTTCATGTTTCATCAAATCACGTTCCTTAATTTTCTGACTACTTAGTCGCCTATTTTCCCAACCATCTGAGTTTAACTTTGTCACGGGGCTCATAAGCTTAGGTTTTTGTTCATCGAGTTCTCTTTGCTTCTTCTGAGTCAAGTGGAGTCTGCGAGCTCTTACTCGTGCCTGTACTCGGACTAATGCTTGCATGCACCGCATTGTCACGTGCGCTTGCTTGCGCACATTATGTCCCCTCACAAGTGCTTGCAGCCTCACTAATCCCTTCAAAGCACGCAATGCACGTCTAGCCTACACAATTCAACACCCAATTGCAAATTGAACACTGTCCTTACTTACTTGGGTACCAATTAGTTTAAACTTTAAAGTCACAAATAATTGCAACATAACTAGGGATAATTAGAATGGATATTTATATATAATATAGACTCATGGAATTCAGAGAGTACTGGTGTGCCACGCTTAACTAACACATTCACAATGTGTGGCAAAGGCCAAAAAACTTGCCAGAGTCTATACGCAAAGATATTAATATCAGTTGACAAAAGAGATAACTTTGAGCTATGTGTATAAAATTAATGGATGGGTAAGCACAAACAACCAACCAAATGGTCAAGTTAATTCATGAATATTTTATTTACCCTATCTCCTCTTTATTATTCCAACCTAATAAGGAAAATGATTGAGTTCCAGTTAGTTTTGAGCTACTTCATATGCTCGGAATACAAACATTTTCAGGGTAAGTTTTACTTATATATATAAAATAAATTAATGCAAGGTTGAATGCTTGAAAAAGATGAATGGCGATCACATATAATACGGCAAGGGTCATTCATTTATTATAAATGCATGTAACTGTAAAACTGTGGGAGTAGGTGGAATATTTATGGCCCAACCGGAACCAATGAATTTCTGATGTAACACACTCTGATGTTAAACAATGAACAACAACTTGACCAAAAAAAGACAAGAATAATTACTGAAGTTAGTAAGAGAAAGACAAAAGACAAAGGAGGTCCTTACAAGGTATCCTCTGTAGTATGATTGAATGAGTGTTGCTGCAGATTCTTCGTTAGAGTAGCGTCCATAACCTGCCAATTTCACAACTCTAGCAGCTGCTTGAGCAGCTGCAACTGCAGCTTCAGCAGCTGCGGCAGTTGCTGCAGCAAAGGCAATGGCATGATTTCTATCTTCAGTCACAGGTGTTGATGTGGTACTTCCCTCATTGGTGACATCTGGAGAACTCTCTGGAGGAAAATTCTCAAAAGACACCACCTCTGCAACTTCATGCTGCCATTTCTCTTCCTTGTTTTTCTGAAAGTGAAAACCCCAACATCAATTTAACTCCTAATTAGCAATCTTTTTGTTGGAAAGTCAAACAATAACAAAAATTAAACAGAATAACGTGTTTTGTTTAACATGATGGAGATCTATCATGGGAAGCACATGATGATCAAGATGAATGATGTGATGGGTTAGGTGGTATGATAACTATGTGACACAATTACTAGTAAAATTATTTGATACATGTTCACATGATGGGGACCATATACACACATAATTACATACTGTATTGGGTTGATGGTCCTAAGGGCCAGTAAGATCACCCTTTGTGTGGTTGCACAAAAGACGACAACAGCAACAAATAAGAATTTCACTTACTTTACTTATGAACGAGATGTTAGCCTTTAATGTGTAAGGTAAAGTGCAATGATAGCAATACTTATGCTGCAGATATGCAGATAAGCAATTTCTGCTTTCTTTTGGTTTGTTGGGGATTCAGGAAAGGGCCATGACTCGTGACCTAAACACATGACTAATTCAAGAACTTCGATGTGAACCGGTGATCAATGACATGATGCACAATTAAAGTCGTCACAAAAATATATATTAGAATAACGTATAACCAGTTTCGTAACGCATATAATTAAGATGAAAATTTTTACGATTATAAAAATGAAAAAGAAGAGAAACTAAAAATATAAAATAAAAAGGTGTCAAGAAGTAAATCACCAATTTAGTATTGGAAAATTTTCAGAACATCAATTTTGTCGCAAAAGATCAATAACTTATCTTTAAATGGTAATTTTTGTTATCAGAAAACATCAATTTGATCCTAATAAACAGTAATGTTCAAACAATTTCGATGGCAAGAAATTATTAACTAATGACCAAATGGATATCATAATCTTTGAAGGAATGAATTAAGTCGATCTTCCAAAAATCTCTTAACTGTCAAAATGAATATTGAAGAAAAAAGAAGAGACAAGGCAATGAAATTTACTAATGAGCAGTGATTATGCTTTTGGAACGTAAATCAAAATGGAAACTCCTAACGCATTAAATTTTTTTTTAGCAGAATTGAAAATAGAAAAAAAAAATTAATTGGTCCTAACAATCAAAGAAGAAAGAAAATAGAAACATAGCACCCCAGCAAATAATTTATTCACAAAGAAGAAAACAAAAAGCAGGGAATGAATGGATCACCTTCTTTTCCGGCACCGGCGAGTCCTTAGAAGATGACTTGAAAACTTTCTTCACTGATGAGAACCAGCTTCCTCCTTTCTTCCCCATCTGCTTCTTACAACCACCACCACCATCACCATCATCATAATCATATGTATTACCAATTCAGACATGTCAGAACCTTAAAAATCGAATTGTTACCGTTTCAAGTATTCAACGAACCGAAAACATCCCTTAGGACACGTTACGTTAAGGCAAAAAACTGTGTACTAAATTTCAGAGAGACAAGAAAACCGGTTTAGGAACAAACCTGTTGTTGGTGAGACAAATGTTGGTGTTTGGGATCAGTTGGATTGGACCTTGACGTATTGTGTGTGTCATTTAGCAGAGCCCGGAAGTTCTGAACTCTTAATTCTGAAGCAGAAATCAGAGAGAGACAGAGAGAGAGAAAAAAAGGATGAGGATACAGTCACAGAGAACGCGTGTGTGAGAGAGATAGAGAGATTATTAGTAACTTTAATCCAGTAGGTGGCAGAAATAGAATCTAAATATGAAGAGAAAATAATATGGATGAATAGATGGAATCTATACATATTCATATATATACTAAAAAATAGATGCATAGATATAACCTGACGATAATATTCACCAAACATTTATGATTGTATTTAATAATACAATTTTAATTTATTATAAAGTTCATATTAATGCAATTTTTAATATTTATTATAAATTTAATATTTAATAAATATTTTGAAATTTGTATTAAATATTTTGATACCGAATTGATTGTACAACCGATGCGTTAACTATATTGAACCGATCCATACTCTAGTTCCCGGATCAACCTGCGAGGCTGCGCCAGTTCGATCCTGATTTGATATTGAAGTTGATTTATTTGGACATACATATTATTTTAGAAAGAAGAGTAAAGATTATAATTATTAATAAAAAATTAGTAAACTGAATCCTAATAATTTCAAAATTTGTTAAATATATTTTATGAAAAATATTATATTTATAACCTCCTTTCGCTACAATATTTTACAATCAAATCTTAATAATTGATTTTTATTAACCTGACGATTATAATTTATTGAGAATTAATAATTAATTAATAAATATGATCTAATAAATTATAACGGTTAGATTAACGAAAATCAACGGTTAAGATTTAATTGTAAGATGTTATAAGCGAAAAAAGATTGTAAATATAATCTTCCTCATATTTTATTATACCTTTAACTCTTTGGCATTATTTTTTTCTCTCTCTCTCATATTTATCATCATTAACTGGTGGGTGTTGAGTTACTTTTCTCCAAATAGATTTTCTCGTGTGTTATTTAATACGATCATATAATATGAGATAATTTTCTAATTATACAAAAATGAATTAACGGTAATAATTTTGTAACTACTTCTCTCAATGTGTGTTTTGTCTTTTCCCTTTATCACTATTGATTCGTTTTTGTATTGTTAGGATTCTTCCATATGACACAGTCATTTTAAATAACACACCAGAGGATCTACTCTCACTTTTTCTTGAATATTTTTTCACCTAAAAAAATAAAATCGCCACACTATTTGAAAAAACTTAGCCACCTTTTGAAAAGGCTTAAGAGTTATAATTTTGAAAATGTATAAGTTTTCATTAAATTCAAACAATAACTTCTAAATAAACTTACACACTTTTGAAAACTATTTGTTGTTTAGTTAAGAAACCAAATTCTTTAAAAAAATTGAATAAACAATTAACTTTTATGAAAATATTAGTGAGCCCCTTGGAAATTACGGTAAAAAATCAATATTCGTCACTTACTTAAAATTAGAAATAAAACGAAATAAATAGTACCTTTTTATGGTTGGAGGGAGCATTATATGACATAGTTTTAAAATAATTTCTATATAGGACGAAATCATTTCATATCAGTATAAATTATAATTTTAATCTTAATTATTAATAATATTTATATTTAATTATTATAATTTATTGGAAATGTGAGTTGTTAAATATAAGTGCGTCAATACGTAAAACTTTGTGTAAGACTATGATATAAGTTGATCTTGCCTCTTTTATATATAGTTGTAAGTTGTTGTTACGGGGAAAAGAGGTCCTACCTATCATAGATGTTGGGTAACTTTTGGCTTAAGATTACTGAGAACAGAAAAGTTGTAGTGGAGCAATTCACATCGTAGTGACATAAAATTGTCCTTCCGCAATTGTTGAATAATGAGATAATCTTTGTGTGTGAGTTTTGCTTCGTTATTTTTCTCATAGACATATAATTTAAAATGGGGCTAATAGGTACAATGTATTAGCATGTGTGTAGGGCAACCAATTCTTGAATTTTGTTTCTTTTATACATATGGCTTGACATAAAATCTCTATAAAAATTTGTATTTATTTAACTATTTTGAGTAAAGCTCGATGGTGTGCCAACTAATTCCTAATTCATAATTTTATCTCTTCCTATTTTCTCTCTCTCTCTCTATAATCCTGATTCATTATACGTACAAATACATTCATGCAAAGATATGTGCTAATAGCATTTTAAATTCATATATTCCTGATTCATTGTACGTACACATACATTCATGCAAAGATATGCGCTAGCATTTTAAATTCATGCTTACATATAGACATTTTAAAATATAAAAATTTGTACTTGTACAAAAAAATATATAAAAATTTGTCTTTAAACATTGTAACCTGTTTACTTTATATAGAATTATAATTATCGGTTTTATTTTTCTACTGTTACGGGAGAGAGTTATCTGCAAAAAAAATAATAATTACATACTTTCGGAGTATATATAATTGTAATTATTATTATTTTTCTCTCCGTCACATCAATTGACAATTCTGAGAAGAGAACTTTTTTTGCAGCTTTAAAAATATCACTATGTAGAAACTGAAATAGAACATCACAATTAAATTAAATATACATATACAAAGAAAAAAGAAACTATATATTTTGCCGAGTTCTTGATGTGATTCACAAGTAAGTCACGACTCACGAGCTTGATCCCTTGCTCGCACGCTATGTACGCTGGCCTGTCCATTCTTTGCATAATCTTCAGTCAATCGGCCCCACTCCCTTTAAGAAAAAAATTATGCCAAACCACCTCACGAATGAGTGTGACTCATGTCACATGTGGTATTAAGATGCAAACCAAAACTAGTTTACCCATTTGATCAGGCAGATATATATTAGAGGTTTGCAAGGCACTGTTCATTGAAGGATATGAAGTAGGTGATAATGGAAACTGATCCAATATATATAGATTAATTTCTTCCCTAGGGTTCCATATCTTCTATAGTGTTCCTTTAACAATATTCTTCTTTATCCTGACTTATGATAAATAATATATCCTAATATATAAGTTGGTACCTTTTAGATTAGATTGCCTAATTTTGTAAATTGTGCATAAACAGCACAAATTTTAATTGAAATCTTGATAAAAATAAAAATAAATGTTGAAACAGATCAGTGTATATAACCAGCCCATGAAAGCTGAAACATTTCAACGTAATAAATAAATGTTTCTTTCCCATTATGTTGAGGTGTGGTGTGTGAACGTTTATTGCTACACGCACTTTAGGAAGTTCTGATTATGGTAGATAGAAAATGAAAAAGGAACCGAAGTTTTTAGACCATGAAAGGCTTTGGCCTTGGAAGATTGCTTATTTGCTTGCTTGCATTGAAAGGTAGTCACACCGCGGAGCAAGGTAAAAGGTGTGCGTTAGAAAGGCGAGTAGTCTTATTAATTTATGTGCCCTCTTTTTTCATGCATTTTGAGATGGATATAATTAAAGTTTGGTGACATGCACCTTTCATCATTTTTATTTATTTTTTATATTATGTGGTGCTGTTTTATTAAGTACGATCCATTGGAGCCTACCTCATGAAAAAAATTCTCCTAGCTCATTGTCCTAACTAAACAGGAACAGCGACCTTCGGTGCTTGGTCTCTGCATGAATCAATTTATATGCCAACCACAGATTGAAAACTCTAATTAATTCAGTTATCTCTTGTTCTGTTACAATACCAAAATATATATTCAATCCAAAAACTTAAACAGTTGGGTGATGGTTTTTTAATCTTTTATATTATTTTCTAACACATTTCTCACACAAGAGTGTTTTATACTTGAAGTGTGGATATTGCATATGCCCAATTTTTAGTTTATCTTGTGCTTATTTAATTCTACTAAAAAGTGGGGGTGACGATGATCGAACCCGTAATCCTGAAGCTCTGATACCATATAAAGAACCAATTTAAAATAAAATTTTAAGATGTTAGGATGACATTATATTAATAATTTTTATATATCTCTAACAAAAATATTAAAAATTCCTAATTATTGGAGTTAACTATTTAAGATTATTTACACCATAGGTGTCGATGGCAATGGTTAAAAGTGATTATTTGAATCCAATTTTTTTTTAGAAGCACCTTTGCAAAGATATTTGGCCTTTATCACACCTGGATCTTATGTATTAATGGTAAAGATATATGCTAACTATCCACTTTATCATCAATTAGATGCATATGTTTTTTCCTTATATTTTAGGAAAAAATAAAAAAATAAACCTTAATATTATCACGCTAATAACATATGTGTGTGGTAAAAGTTAAAAATTAATCTAAAAGGTTGCATCCAAATTATTAATTCTAAAAATAACCCATATGTACCCATAAAATAACCCACATGTACCCATAAACTTATGTTATTTGTATTTGATTTCACAACAGGAATAGAAATTTTGGCGATTAATCAGTGGAAATTGTTAAAGACAAAAATCAATGAAGATACATTATATGGAATATGAAAATTTCTTGTACATATTCATTAACAACTGCTTCTTTTTTGTATTTTTAAAATTTTTAAAATATCTGACTAAATGATTTATGTGGATCCATTGTCATTTAAATGATTTTAGACATTTGTCGCTGATTGTTCCTTGTTTCTTTTTAATTGTGAAGTTTGTTGTCCATCTACGTTGATGTTCTTCACAAGTCACAGCTAGGAGTATAAATGGGCCAAGTTAGGCCAGACTTTGGCTTTGATAGCCTAAGTCTATGTAAAATATTTAGAGTGTATACTGATCCATTAGTCCATTAAAGTCTTGATTTATAGGTGTGGCTTGACTTATTATAAAAAACAAATAAATATGACCAGCAAGGCCTACCAAGTTGCAAACTAAAGTTTATAGGCCCAAACCAAATTAAAATATAAAAGTTAAAAAAATTTATTCACAAAGATCACATGAAATTGTTATAAAAAAAAAAGATCACATGAAATAAATATTCATTAACATCACATGAAATAATGTTCATAAAGATCATATGAAAATGTTCATAAAAATCACATGAAAATTTTATATATGTATATATACCTATAATTTGCACTTTCTTTAATTGGTCTAAAAAGGCCAAATATAATCTTTTGTGGGCTGACCCGCAGACTTTAACTCATTTTGACACCTCTATGGCTATCCCCTTCTATAGAGAATTCTTGTGCTAAATCATGTCTAAAAG